CTTTGCCATGTTACAAAATGTAGATTGGCCCTCCCTTTCCTATCTACATTAATATGACTACCTGAAGGTGTATTTTTCAGTCTCATGTTTTTTAAAGACTTAATTAATTTGCAAGTGACAGCAATCCAATTCCAGCTAACTATGGAACAAATGAAAAGCAATTGTGATGGTGAGAGGGGGACTTCTGTGTTCAGAGAGGAGGAGTGTAGGGGTACATCGTCTGCCATTGCTGGGTCCAGAGGCTCAAAGTGTCCCTGGGACTTGGTCCTCCCTCCCCCTCTCTCCCCATCCTTCCTTTCCTCTGGCAGGCTTTCCCCTCATGGGGCCAAGACATCTGCTGTCTGCTCCAGGCTTTCATTCCATCTTCTTAGCCATCTCAGTGGAAAAAAGTTCTCTAACAGTTTCAGAAAAGTCTCAGAATGAAGTCATTGACTCTGATGGGTCATGCCCTCCCCCTGCCACCCCAGAATCACTGGGCTAGGAGTATGCATGTGTGATGGGCTGGGCCTGGGTCTCATGACCACTTCTGGGACCAGAGCTGCTCCACCAGGGACTAAGAGGTGGGGGTGAAGCCCAAGGAAAATCCTGGCTGTTGAGCAGGCAGGAAAGATTTTGGTGTGTGGGCTCCCACACCCAAGTATTTTTGGGAAATTGTTACTCAAGTAGCTGTTGTCCTCTGTGGAATGGTAAAAGAACTGGGTGGGCATTTTCTTATCTGGGGGAAGACTAGCTTTGTGTGGAGCTGTTGATGCATCTTGGGTGAATAAGCTTGTTGGAGGTTGGACGTCAGCCAGTCCTACATCATCCTGGCAGCACAGCCTCATTTATGGAGTGAAATTCTGATTTCAAATCAAGGCTCTTGGGTTCAGGACCCTTTGATGGTCATACACTTAATACAGGCAATTGCAAAAGGGCATTAACCAGGGTGGTAGGCCCTCAACTGCCCATCAAGATCACCTGAGGAGTCTTTAAAAATACTCTGCAGCCTGGTAACAACTTTGTAAAACCCAAATCTGATCAGGTCATGCCTCTGCTTATAAAAATCCACCATGGTATTTTACCTCAATGAAAAACAAAAAAGCTTAAAACTAAACAAAACCCCCAAGGCCGGCCCGTGGCTCACTCGGGAGAGTGTGGTGCTGATAACACCAAGGCCACGGGTTCGGATCCCATATAGGGATGGCCGGTTTGCTCACTGGCTGAGCGTGGTGCTGACAACACCAAGCCAAGGGTTGAGATCCCCTTGTGGTAGGCCCTCAACTGCCCATCAAGATCACCTGAGGAGTCTTTAAAAATACTCTGCGGTATTTTACCTCAATGAAAAACAAAAAAGCTTAAAACTAAACAAAACCTCCAAGGCCGGCCCGTGGCTCACTCGGGAGAGTGTGGGGCTGATAACACCAAGGCCACGGGTTCGGATCCCATATAGGGATGGCCGGTTTGCTCACTGGCTGAGCGTGGTGCTGACAACACCAAGCCAAGGGTTGAGATCCCCTTACTGGTCATCTTTAAAAAAAAAAAAAAAAAAAAAAAAACCCAAATAAAAAAACCTCACTAGTATCCCATCCTCCCACCTCTCCCCCAGTTTTTTCCCTCTACCTTTTATAGAGGCAGTTTACTGTATTGTAGCTGGTTATTGAGTTATTTATTCCTGTGACCCTTAAAAGTTTCCTGTGGCTACTTCTTGATTTTTCAGTTTGAGTTATTATCTGCCCATGTCCCACTATAGAAGATGAGATTTTAGTCTCTTTCCTCCCTCTGTCATCACCCCATACCTACCTTTCCTATTCCCTGTCCTACAGGCAGATTATAATATGGTCAGTATTGGGCGATTACATTACTGCAGCTTTGTAAGTGCTGGTCACAGTTGAGCCATCTAGTAAACAGTGATTACTTCTCCTTTTTGTGGTAGAATGCTTTCTTCAGTCATTTCTGACAAAGGGTGCGTGGGCAATAAATTATGTGAGCCTTAATGTGGAAAAAACCCACCATGTAGACCCAGGTTCAAAGGTTTGATTATGAGATGTGATTTAAGGCCAAAGAGAAAATAGCAAGGAGAGAAAAGTAGAGGAGGGAGACAAAATCTCAGTGACAAACTAGCACCAGAACATCTTCTGCAAAGAGAGTAAAAATAAGAATCTCCCTGCCCCTCCCCCACAACCCACCACAGCTCCCTGTTGCTCATGGCATGGAGTTCAGATGCCCTACTACGTGCACATGCCTCTCTTGCTACAGCCCTGCCAGCTTTTGCTTGAGCTGGGCCTCTAATGCCCAGAGTTTCCTCTGTCTGGTGAAATCCCCTTTCCTCAAAGACGGGCTTGGATGACACTTTCTTTGGGAGGCCTTCCCAGTTGCTTGTCTGTTGCAAGCTGTGTATATTTAGGTCTTAGTACCTATCATACTACATTGTACTTATTATTTACTGTTTGCTCTGTGACTTTGGGCAAATTACCCATCTTCCCTGTCCCCCAGTTTTCTCCTTTGTAAAATGTAAACAACAACAGCAGCACCTACCTGATAAGGTTGGCAGCGATTGCACAAATCAATGGGGTTAAAGCACTTACGGTAGTGCCTGGCACCTAGTAAACTGTTAGTCTGTGCTCTGTGTCTCTTTTTCCCCACAAAGGCAGAGTTGGTGGGTTGTATTCACCAGTGCTCAGAACAGCTCTTGACAGGTCAAATGTCCCCACGACTGGGCAGGGGACCTGGATGAGTGAAGCAGTGCATGGGTGGTGTGGGCTGGAGAGGGCAGTCCTTGACTAAGGGGGCACCTTGTACTCTACTTCTAATTAGTGGCTGCCAGGCAGGAATAGGGGCCCAATGTTGCCAGATCACTGGATTTTTTTTTTTTTTAAATGTGTATTTTCCTGACATTTACTACATAGCATACAGGCCAAATGCATTAAGCCTCTTGGTTCACAGGCCACTTGTTTGGGGCCCAATTCTTATTTTGTAGATGATGCCCAGGGGGATGATGTGACCTGCCCTCAGCCACACGCTGATGATCTGACCCCTGATTTGTTTTATTTGTGTTGTGGATGTGGATAGCACTGGTGCTCCCCACCACCAGGGAGGTGACTGTGAGGATTTGGTCTTGCTTTTTGCAAAGCAGCTGCCTGCACAGTGTAGCAGGTTATTACATCTGTTATGTTAGCCACACTTGCATCACAGAGATCCCCTGGGTGGCTTTAAATGGGGCCATGACTCTCCTTTTATGCCAGGAGGAAAACTTGTACGCATTTATTGAGCACCTACTGTGTGCCCAGGAGCTGTTAGTGCTTTACATCTGCATTCTCTCTTCCTTCTAACAGCACCTTATGTGATGGAAAGTAACAATTTTATAGGTAATACAAATAGTTCATAGAGAAGTCACCTGGTTAGGGCCCCGCAGAAGGTTTAGCCAGGGTTGAATCTGTGTCTCTGATTAGAATCCTGGGCTTTGACAACATGCTGCCTCCTGCTCACTGGAAGCCAAGTCCAGCAGAAGCTCTGTGGGGCTTTGCTGTTCCCTGGGCCACCCCAAGGCATCTGTGCTCCCCTGGAGTACAAGTCTAACTTGTTCTCTGTCTTCAGAAACTGTACCAGGCGACTCCAGGCCTGGGCTAACAGAGGAGAAGGCAGAGAAAATCAGGATGGTGAAGATGATGACACAGAACTGGGGACAGAGGCCAAACTGTGTCAGAAGGGGGACCAGGCTCAGGCTCCGAGGAACCTCTGAGGCAGAGGCAGCATCCCCATGTCCTGGAATGCAGCAATGTTTCCAATCCCATCTAGCAAGCCCAGGGCTTGAGATGACAGGCGTGAGCTAGAAGGACTGATCAGAGCTGCCTTCACCCCATGAGGCCCCTACAGTTCTGCATGTAGAAATAAGTTTTCAGACAGTTATTGTGAGGCAGCCCCTCCAGCTGATGGAACACGTGTTTTACCAGCAGGGTGGCTGTTTAGTCTCAGGACAGCCCCGCAGCTCCTGATCATGTGTGGTTCCTTCTTCTCTGCATATCCGTTTCCCCTTTCTCAAACTGGTACGTACACACGTGAGCATACCCTCCCCCCAGGTGAGGCTCTGCCTGCAGATGCCAAAGAGGATGTGGGGTCTGTGAAGTACTGACCTGATCCCCCCAATATGTCCTCATAGACCTGGGACTCAGTTTCTTCTTTTTCATTTTTCCCCCCTCCTTGTACCTCCTGGATTTGATTTCTTGAGCTTTATGATGTGATTAACATGGTCCACCTGCCTGTTCCTTCCAAACTCTGGTCAAGGCCCAAGTTTCTGGTTGCTGTCTCCAGGGTGGGCGGCCACCCTTATCTCTGGCCATTCCCTGCATTCCAGAACTCGATGCTGCTTCCTCTTCCCTCGGGACTCAGCATTTCCTCCCCTCTCCTGAGTTTCCATTCAAGCTTCAGACTGCTGTTTAGATATGCTTCTGGAAGTTTTCCACGAGCCTCCCTCTATCACCTGGTCTGGCGAGGTTCTCCACCACTGGGTTCTGTGGCACCTGTACCGATCCCGTCCTGGCACTGCCTTCTCTGGCATGGGTTGTAATGTCCAGCTCACTCACCAGACTGGAGGTGCTCTGAAGGCAGGCCTGTGCTAGACGGGGCTAGACTGGAAATTGTTTCCCCGAGGGACAGAGCTTTTTTTTTTTTTTTTAAACTGTACTGTCCAATATAGGAGTCACTAGCCACATTAATTTTTAAAACTTAAATGTAGTTAGTTAAAATCAAATAAGTGAACACATTTCTTCAGGCACACTAGCCAATTTCAAGTGCTCATAGCCACATGTGGCTTGTGGCTGCCATACCAGACAGTGCAGATTAAAGGACATTTTCACTGTGGCAGGAAGTTCTTGTGTAGAGTGCTGATCTGGGCACTGTCTTGTAAAGATGTTAATTTAGGAGTCTGTATGTTGGGTAAAGCCCCACCTTCTGGTTAGGGGAAGCAGGTGTTTGCCGATTCCTTCGTGAGCCTGAACTGTTTCCTCAATTTCTCCCGGCTGCAGGATGCTCGTCAGAAGTTCCGCTCCGTTCTGGTTGAAGCAACGGTGAAACTGGATGAACTGGTGAAGAAAATTGGCAAAGCCGTGGAAGACTCGAAGCCTTACTGGGAGGCGCGGAGGGTGGCGAGGCAGGTAAGAGAGCCCTGCAGACGTCTCCCCGAGATGCGGGATGACTCGTGAGTCCTTCATGGTGAGAAACAGCCGTGACCTTGTACCTAGCTGCGTTGAAGTCAGCTTCTCGTTCCCACCCCCATCTGCTTCACTGCAGCTCTTGACGCTATCCACAGGGTGTGGGTGCTGGCACCTGGGTGGCCCTGCAGTGGGGCTGCCTTGCTGCTTGAGTTGGTGTCCAGCAGCTGTGCTCAGGTTGGGGGGAGGCTATTCCTCCACCTCTCCAAGGATGGCCTGTCAGGCAGCAGGGGGGATACTTGCTCCCTCCCTCACATTCCCCTCACTGCTTTGGGAGTATTTAGCCTTTTGCTTCTCTTGAAACATTGACTTTTTGTCTCGAGAGCCCAAATAAGCAGCTGAGCAATTGGGACCAGAAAGGGGGTGGCAGAGGGGAGCTGTGGTCAGGCAATTGCTGGGGGCTGTGTGGAAATTAGTTCTGGTTTCAGGTGTGGTTTTGATCACCACTGATGTGATGTGATATGGTATAGTGCGCCGCTTGTGTCACCTACCAGCCTCTGCTGGCCAGGCCCTGTGAATGGGCAAGGAGAGAGCCCCTAGTAGTTGCTGGTGCCTGCCATGGGCTGGTGGCTTTTCAATACCCCAGCCCACTCAGGGTTTCCCATCAGATGTCTCTTCAGCATGAAGCACTAACCCTGTGATGCATCTTGAGATAAGAGCTCAGGTTTCCTGAGAAGATTTAAGCAGTTGTTCCAAATTGTAGTTCACTCACAGATGACCAGGGTCTATTCCCTCTTAAGTGTTTATAACATGATGCTTCTCTAAAGACTCCACTAAAAGAAAATGCCTGGTTAGCAACAACAGTAGCAAAAATGTTTCTGAGCACCTACTGTGTGTGTGCACAGCATGTTGTGGGCATGATCGGGGAGATATCGGTAAGGTGAACCCTTTGGAAATGAAGCCCCAGAAATCTAGGAACATAGTAAAATCAGACCCAAAGAGGACAGGGAGCCAGGACTTAACCATTCCCCTTCTTTTCTCTGCCTCCACATACCTCACCAGTTTCTCATCAAAAGATCCCCTTGCTGCTTTGGCAGTTCTACTGAGATCCTATCTGTGTATTTGGGTTTTGTGCTCTGCACCCTGAGCCGAGGTTTCTGATTGGACCTTTCCAGATATGTTGCCTTTATTCCTAGACAGGATGGCTGCCTGAATTACTTCTTCCTCCCTGGCCTGGGGAAGGGGCTGTACATCAAAGTCTGCAACATCCCTAGCAGCCACTCCCTCTTTCCCTGTCTGTCTGGGCCCCACCCGGCCCTCCAGCGTTCCAGGGAGAAGAGCCTTCTCCAAAAGCGAGAACCTGTGTGCATTCCAGTCCACACAGGTTCTAGAACCTTGAGGCATTCTCCCTCCAAAGTGTCCATGTTCCAGCAATCTTGAAGATGTCCCCAAGTTGGAGATGTATCCTACCCACTCTAGTCCAAGGTAGACCTAAAATTGAAGCATGAAGGGTTCAGGTTAAGTTCGAGGAGACATTTCTGATAATTTGAACATTGGATAAATATCGAGGAGGCCATTGTCCTCTGATTCTTTTTAGCCCACAGATATCTACTAAAAACAGCCCATATGCACATGCCACAGAAGGATTTCAGAATGGCTTGCTGAAGCATCTTTTTAGGGGTTAGAGAGGTGATTTCCTTACCGGAAGTTTTCTTGCCTGGGCTCATGAGCTCAGGTTTGGGGGCCTCTTGAGGCTGGCCCTCTGGTTCAGGTCACCAGCCCTGGCCAGGTGGTGTCCTCCTTTGGCTGTGCCAAAGTCAAACATGTCTCCCCTCAGAGCCTTTGACTGATGTTCCCTCTGATTGGTGTTTTCCTAACCCTGGTATTCTCATGGCCTTTTCATGGCTGCTCCCTCTTCTCTTTTGGGTTTCTGCTCAGATGTCACTTTGTCCTTGATTTGCTTTTTCTCTGTAGCACTTCTCAGCAGCTGACTTGTTACCGTTTGTTTACAGTAAGTGAGGCTCCAGAAGGACAGGGGATTTTGTCTGTTTGTTCTTCACTGTGCTACACTGCCAGCATAGAGAAGGTGCTCGAATATTGAGCAAATGAATAAATGAACAAGTGAGTGAATGATGAGGTTGGGGAGCCACCAACAGGTCAGCAGGTGCTGCCCATTGTCCTTGACATTGAGCTTTTCCTCTCCATTGCCCCTTTAGACACAGCTTCCTTCTTGCCTTGTAGCTAGGTGAGCAGAGGGGTGGGAACATGACTGGCAAATCAGTCTTCATCAGGGTTGGGCTTATTCAAATCTCATTTGGTGGGTGGGTCCCCAGTTGGCTGCAACACATCCCAGGGTAGACTTCACACCACTCCCTTTTCTGTACCCCAAATCCTCTTTGATGGGAAAAGAGGAAGCAGAGAGCCGGGTTGGGAGGCCCCCAGTCTGCTGGGAAGCAGTGGATTGCGGCATCTCTCCTTATCCCTTCTCTTGGCCAGTGAGGACAATAATCATGACAATTACTGAGTCCCGTGGGACTCAAGCCACAGAGTCATCAGATCTAATCAGGTAATGCCCAGGTCCTGGGGGTGATTGACTCACTTTCAGTTGGCAGAACCTGAGATGAATGTTGAGGGAATCCTGCCCAGCTTTATGCCTGCAACCCTCCTGGTGACCTCCTTCCTTCTTGCAGGCGGGAAAGGAAGAGGAAGGGTGGAGAAGGTTCAGAGTGACGCCTGCTCCTCAAACCCAAGGGACCTTGTTGGTCTATAGCCAAGGAACCAGAAGGATTCTTAGAGGCTGAGGCTGGGCACGGATGTTACCTTTCATTTCTGTGGATGATGGGTTGCCTGGGCTCGGGCCAGATGGATGAGCTTGTTTGTGGAGGAATGTTCCTCTGACCTTCATGCTGGTGACAGGGGCGGTGTCCGCTTCCAGCTGCTGCTAAGTGGGGCTTCCTGTTTTCTTCCTCTGGATTTATTCCCACCCCATTCCTTTTCATATTTACAGACCCCTCTGAGTAGGTGCAGCAGGGATGGTGCCTGAGAGATTCCTTCAGAGCAGTTTTTCAAGTGTGTATAAAGAGGCACTGTGTTCTCAGAGCCTCAGCGTCCTCTTCGTGAAACACTGGTAATCAGGGGACCAGCCTTGGCCATTGCATGAGGTCGTTCTTAGGACTTAAATGAGATAATGTGTTTGATGGAATCCCTGCATGAACTTGGGTTTTGGTTTTGTTTTTTTTTTAAAAAAAAAGATTCATTGTAGATAATTTATTTATTTTTTTTGGTGACTGGCTGGTACAGAGATTGAACCCTGGACCTTGGTGTTATTAGCACCATGCTCTAACCAAGTGAGCTAACCAGCCAGCCCTATTAGATAAATAAAAAGTAGACAAAAAGAAGAAAATAAGTTCTAATACCTTCTGTTACTATTTGATGTTTATCTCCTAGTCTCTCTCTCACTTTTAATCGGAGAGCATTGTAGTGGTGGTTTTATATGTCTGGAATTCCCATGTCAATCCATCCAGCATCTTAACCAAACTAGGGAGGGGAGGGGACTTACAAAGGGGAAAAACTTCTCCTCCTACTTTTTTTTCTCTGAGGGGTTTACAAAGATTTGTAATTATTGGGCCACAGTAGAAACCGTATCTGTCCATCAAATTTTTGCCTTGACTTTTTTGTTCCTGATGTGAATTCATTCTGCCAGTGAGTCGGATCCAATCCTGTGATCTTGAAAACCATGTCCAAATTCTACGAAGAGGAAGTCTAACGTTTTTTTCTGGTCTGAGTCGGGGACAGGGAACTGGCTTTGATTTATTTGAGGGTTTTTGTCATTGAAACTGAGCTTGTTTTTAAAGCTTCTTTGCCATATCTGCCAGCCCATCTGGCCTTCAGCATGTGGCATGGAACCATCTGACAAGGGGCGGAGCCTGTGTGACTCGGTAAAGCTGAATAGCAGAGTGTTTCTTGGTTACTTTGCTTTCTGGATTCTAACTGGTCTGACAGTAGCTTTGGACCTGTCATTTTTATCACTCTGGTCCCAACACTTGTTAATTTTTCTCCCTTTTAAAAAAAATTGTGGTAAAGTATACATAACATAAAATTTACCATTTTAACCATTTTTAAGTGTACGTTTCAGTGACATTAAGTATATTCACATTGTCATGCGACCCTCACCACCGTCCATCTCCAGAACTTTTTCATCTTCCCAAACTGAAACTTTGTACTCTTCAAACAATAACTCTCTGTTCCTCCCTTCCCCCAGCCCCTGGCACCCGCCATTCTACTTTCTATTTCTATGAATTTGACCACGCCAGATACCCCATGTAAGGATTGAGGAATCATACAGTATTTGTCTTTTTGTGACTGGCTTATTTCACTTGGTAAAATGTCCTCAACATTCATCCATGTTGTAGCGTATATCAGAATTTTCTTCCTTTTCACGTCTGAATACTATTTCATTGTATACACCACATTTTGTTTATCCATTCATCCATGGACATTGGGCAACGCTTGTGATTTTTAAGTGGTTGGGAGGTGTCAGAAGAGCACAGGGCACTTTTGCAAACGTGAAGGGAAGCATAAATGCAGAATAGTGAGGGTTATTCAGTGCTAAAAGATGCCTGTTTTGTGTTTATGGGGCCATGTAAGTCCACCTTTTGCATTTAACCTGCTTTGGGAAAGTAGGTACGTGGGGAAACATTTGAAACTTGCAGAGTGGTTTAGCTCTAGGACAGCTGGCAAAGCTTGGCCTCTGGGGCCAGGTTGCCTGGCTTCCAATCCCAGCTCACTACTTAATAGCTGTGGAACCGTTGGCAGGTTACTTAATCTCTGTGCCTCAATTTCTTCACCTATAAAATGGAGTTGTGTATCAGCTTTTATTACAAAACAAACCAACCAACTCAGAACTTAGTGTATTAAAACATGTATTTAGCTCATGATTTTGCTGGGCGGTTTTTCTGATCTCAGTCTTAGCTGACCTCAGATGGTGGGTTGGTTCGGGGCTG